TATCATTATAATATCCGTGCACCCCACTCCGTATGTACAAGCACCTTTGCATTTTTCCAGTCTGCCGACTTCATTAAAATCTCTGATATATTTTGGTCACGTAGTTAAATTTGCTCGGTGGACTGAAAAACTGTGGAGGTTATGTTATATATAGCTGACTGTAGGGCATAGGGGGAGATGACGGTAGCAGTAGCGAAAGAAGAGTAAAAAAAAAAATTTAAATAAATAACGTAGCGGTGGGAGTGATTGAGATTTCAATAGTTGCGTGTGTAATGTCGTGCAGCATGATTATATATATTATTTTATGGAAATCCTATTGCAAATTTTGAAACATGGTCATATTGTGCGAGTAAAACTTCTGACAAGTTCGATGATTCGATCGATTTGCGTATGAAAACGATTACAAAACATAATTATTTTTATACGAGGTAATAATTGAAAAATTCGTTCTGACCCAACTTTTTGACTTCACGAATACATTTATTCAAAATTTAATTTTTAAAAAACACGTGCACCTAATAATTTATTTATAATTGTTTAGAAAATTTAACAAATTTTAAAAGTGTAAAAAATGTATATTTTATTTTTTGAGACTCCAAATTAATCTTGAAAATATAATAAATATTTCCCTATACATAACTCTCACTAATAATTACATAAATTTAAGAGTTCAAGTTTACTTTTTTTTAAAAAAATTTAAACGTATGAATATTAAAATTTAACAAAACACAATAATCACGAAAATTCGCTACAATGTTGTAGTAAAAAATTCATAAAACTTTCAATTTACCTGTATATATTATATATTTATTATGTGTTTGTTTTTACTAGTAATATTAATATATTTAAAACTAATATTGAATTTGGGGTTTTAGTCATGAATATATTTTTAAGACTTGATCGATGGAGTAGTGATTTAATATTAGTGAAGTTTAGAAATTTAATTTTCAAAATTCAATAAATTGTGTTTTATAAATTAAATTTTAATAAATATTGGTCCCGAATAAACACAAGAAATCCCGACTAAACATACATCAACGTACAAAGTTCAATATTCACCTTATTTATTGTTTCTGTTCATCCGTTTTCTGAGTGATATACATATTATTATATGATATTAACAAATATTAGGTTTCTCTGATAATCTAGCCTAACTACTATATAAATATTAAAGATTAATTGAACTTGGTACAATATATCTGCTCAACTTTTTTTGTATCGGTCGTTTGCGGACAAGGCCTCCGCTATGTCTTACAAAATATTTGTAAGTACTATTGATGATAAAAAAGGCCATAGGATGTATAACTATAGGGTGATATTTCTTGTAAGAAGTATTTGATATATTTTTAAAGAAGGACAGCGTTTATAATTCGCAGTATGTTAACCAGAACATAAGGCGCACTTTGCAGATAGTTCCGATGATTCGATACAGTCCTCGGTAAAGTTCGTTGTCAAATTCCACACATCTTAGTAGTGAATTACAGTAGGAGCTTGTGTAACCGTATCGCTGATACCCTTCGCGTTGTGTTGGGATACGGGCATGGTACAGTTTTTCGATCACTATTTTGGAGTTAAGAAGGGAGGATAGTAGTTGGTAAATGCTCTGATTGAATTGGTTTTGATCAAGAACAACAGTTGTGGTAGGCTTCTTTGCTTACTCTATGGCGAACGTTTAGCACATTTATGACTAAGAAGTCCAAATCCTGGAGATCCATAACGAAAACTTTTGTTGAAATAGTATGATGTAGATGGCGGATTAAACACTCTGGCCAATACCAATACCACGTATTGGCCGTTAAATCATTACACTAATCAGAGGATTTCATTGTAATCAACACAACTATGATTTTCAATAATTATTACTAGGTATATCCTTGATAGTAACCATAAAACCACCAGTCTCCATCAGAGAAATTAAATCCGTTTTCAGCGAAGAGTAATTAGTATCATTTTTTATGAATAATCGTTTTTTTCATCACCAAGGTGATTTGATAGTGGCGCTGTGGATTCAGGTTTTGCTGTATGCGTGACTATAACGGAAGAAGGACTAAAAACCTCAGGGAAATCATTATCCACGGGTAGGGAATAAAACCGGTTTGATGACACAAAGGTGTTGTTTTTTATTTTTTAATTTGTATCTTGTTTGTTTGAAGAGGAAGACGACAAATGTTACTGAAATGCATCATGAGATTTGATGAGAGACTCATATAACGTGCTAACAAGTGAACATTATAAAATAACAATTAAATTGATAGTAATTGCGTGCACAGTGTGACGAAAGAGCATGTTCAACGGCAGACAGCACAAAATTGAATACTATTAATATGTATATATAAATATTATAAACATTTTTATTAGTATAAAAAGTCTTATCATTTTTAATGTTCTAATGTGTACCATCATTATAATAGTTATACGAAAGTACCCTGTTGAGTAAAACCATTTGAATGTATCATATACCCATTAAATTTCAATTTTCCCACTTTTTCCCTATAGAAAATGAGGTAATTCGTAAATATTTTTGAGAACCTCAAGTTTTGACCAATTATTATTATTTATGAACCAACTTTTCTAATGTATGTAATATTCCAATAGAAGTATTTATTACAAAGTGAGAGATTATGGTATAATACTTTTAGCTTATGAGTTAAGACTTGTTCTTAAAGATCTAAAAGTTTAGTTAAACTATAATTTATGGAAAACTATAAAATTCACACAACTTTTGGAAACTACATAAATTATACGTAATTATATGAATATTTTGTACGAACATTTTGAGTGTTAGACAATGTAAAGAAATCTAGGTATACTCTAACTTTTTCTTTCATCAGAAATTATTATACATGACTGTTATTCTAAAAAAATATAATTTTACACGGAAGTTTGGAAGATTAAAACTATAAATTACATTATGTGTTTATTTGTACAACACAATATGTATAATTTAGCTATAATTATAACTCACATTTGGTCCTATAAACTCCCTATCAATGGGTAGTAGTGATGTACAACGTAATCATTATCGAAAACGAACAAATTTTATGGATATAGATGAGCAAGTACAAAATATCATAAATCGAAATCGAGTTTACAGTTTCTATTTTCTATGATATTAAAACTTTTTTTCAATGTGACAATTCAAAAAAAAAAATAATAATAAAATATTAACTGTACTGATTTAAATTTTATAAATAATATCCAGAAACATATATAATAGTAATTAACTGCTATATGCAATAAAAATTTGCTGCTTGAATTATTAAATATATTAATTATATTTAAAATTGAAGGATCAAGGTAAAATTAAGGTACAATTATTGTACTTTGGTCCGTTTGAATTTTTAGCCAATTTTTTTCTCGCTTTTAATTATTCAATCCTACTTTGGAAAAATGTTATTAAATGTTCACCAAATTTTAATGAAAACATGCAATGATAATTTTCATGAACCACTGTTCTCAAAATCATTATTTGGAAAATGGAAGTGATTAAGTAATCATTACATAACAAACATTACAAAAACGAATACAATTAATTAAAATAAAATTACATTAGTTATTGACTGATTTGTAACTAAATTCGACTAATACCTTGTATTTATTTGTTTTACAAACTTACATGTTTCATAAAACTATCCCGTTCAAATTATTTTAATAATACTCGTATATAGAGTTGGAAGAGTACTCAATGTTGTAAATATTTTCGGTCGAGTTCGAGTACTCGACTTGATAAAAAAATATTTGTTCACATAAATACGAGTACTCAATTTTACTCAACTTAATTCGAGTATTGACTTTACCGAACTGTAATGGAATTCTTAACTTGAATCAAGTATTCAGGTTTATTTTACTACTTTATAAAAAAAAAAAAAAAATGTTAAAACTATAAATTATTGAAAGCTAAATATTTCCGATATGATATATTAGGAATGTTGATGGTTTAAATTTATAACAATAGATGGTTATGCATATAGAAATAAATATACAAATAGTATTTATAGAAAAATAAATAAATAAATAAATGCTTAGCCTGGAGTATTATTATATTTATAAATTACGACCTTTTTCGGATTAAATATAAAGAGCCATAGCGAGTCGCGATTTTATTGACTTTGTATATACGAGCCCTGATGCATTTTTAATTCGAAACTCGTCGTACTTTACAAATATAATATTATTCCAGGCTCAGAATTTTATTATTGATTTATTTATTTATACTCGTCTGACTCTACTTGAATACATTATTTGTAAGGAATTGGTAAATTAAAATTTTATTAAATAGTGTACATACTAAATCCTAAATTTTAAAGAAGATAAACATAATTTTATCATAATTATTTATTTCTTTTATGTTTAATTAATTATCAATATTTTATAATGAATGAAAAAACCAAAACTACAAGCAAACTTTTTTAATATATATTAAAAATAAAATAAAATTTTTGAACTTTTTTTTATAAAAATTAAATGTTAATACATAATGAAATATTATTTTTTATTTTTTTTAATAACATTTTTAATATATGGGGACATTCATGAAAATTATATAAATGTAGAACTCTGAGTGAATTAACCTTCGAATATGATGAATAAGTCAAATACAATTGTATTTACCGACTTTGAATGAAATAATACTTGTTTGTATTAACAATTCAAATTCCATTAAAATATGAGGTTCTCAGAAGAATTTTAATTTTAATCGACATAGGTACAGATAAACAATTATTTTAAAGTGAATAGTACTCTTTAGGCGGTGAGTGATTATTATTGTTTGCATAGTTTAGTACAATATAACAGTCTAAAAATAGTATATTAAAAACATAATCAATATTTTACTAACACAATATTATCCAGGTAAAATTTCATCTTTACAATGTTCACACATTTTAATATTATTCATAGCTTTACTAATATAACTGAATTTGTTAGAATTTATGATTTATTACTTTTTCCATACTATACTCGTATAGTATTATGGACTAAGTAATTTAACAATAGCTTACCTGCCCCTATGTGGCCCTGTTCCATAATCGTAAGAAGAGCTAGATGTTAGATCTGAATCTGATATTTTACCAGACTCCATCCCCAACGGATTGTTGCATTCATCTGAAACAATAACGAGTGGTTTTAAATTTATAAATAATTTGTATTATATGAATCATTTAAGAAAATGGAAATTCGGCTATAATTTTTTTTATTTAAATTTAATACGGTTTTAAGATTATTTACAATAGTTTACACTTTCCTAAACAATGTATTAAGAAAAAAAGTGTTCAACTAAATAATATAACTATTACTTTAATTTGACACACTGAACGTATTAAGTAAATTTAATGTTCATCTCTTGAATAAATGAATCGTCCAACAGATTATGAAGACATTTTTAATCTCCACAGCTAAATATTTATAGTTGCATGCTGAACACGAACGTTCATAGGCATGCGTAAACCTGTATTTCAGGGCTACTTATAATAATTTTGTGCCTTATCTTAACAAAACGTGTAGGTATATTTAATAAATTATGATATTGATATGATATTGGGATATACTTGTATTAGTTCCAATGAATATGTTTTCTTTGTACCTCGTTAATTTTTCTTAGATATCTTCAATTATTTATGATTTGTACATTTGTAGTCAATCGAAGCTGTTACATTATCATAATAAGTTTTTGCACGAAAATTGAAATAAATCAGTTTTTTTTTTTCATATTGCGAAACATGATTTACTTTTTACCAAATGTTTTAGAATAAAATACATTTAATTTGAGGAACATAAATTAAAATACATGCCCCATACTCTTAGACATAAATTGTAGGGCCCCATTCAAAACATTTCGGGGGGGGGGGCTGAACATATTTCTGCGTATGTTATCTCTCTCTCTATATATATTATACATATTTATAGATTTAAATAAGATTAAGTAAAATAAGTATATTTTGCCTTATTCACACAAAACAATATTTCACCTTTTTTTTCTTTAGTATATAATTATATAGATAATTGATTTATATGTATAAAACAGGCGTTAACGAAAAAAAGGGGGGGTAGGGGTTCAATCTCCCCTGAAATATCATGAAAAAATTACCAGACCTATAAACATATTATTATCAAAGTTTCCCATGAGACTTGCAAACAAAATATGTATATATATATATGTGTGTGTGTGTGTGTGTGTGTGTGTGTGTGTACATATATTATATAATGAGTTATAAAGTATGCTGTTTATCAATATATAACATTATATATTTTTCAACCCCTCCTGACATATTTTCCTGCGTTCACCCCTAGTATGGACAGAACAATTATATTGAATGGCGAAAATCTAATACATATTATAATACGAAATAATATAAATGGTATACGCTACATATAAGTGTAATACAAACAGATGAATTAATAAATAATAAATAGAAAAAGATTTTGCTAAAAGTAACAATTTTAGTTAGTATTTTTGACCATGATTGCATTTAGTACAGAGAAAAGGAGTATAATCAGTGAACTAGTTTAGACATTCAGATTATAGACGAACTGGGGAAAAATACTGGAGACACTTTTCGTGGATATGTTTTGATTCATTGAAGATTCTGTATAAATTTTAGTCTTGGATTGACCATAGTTGTATTAGACAACTGTAGTTGATTGACAATGGTTGAAAGTGGCCTTAGCTGATGGAACCCTCATAGAAATTTTCTTGAAAAATGTACATCCTCTGTAATTGGCTGTGTGGTCCATTGAGTAAAGGGAGCATTTATCAGGAATATTACAATATTTGGTACACCTATTTGACACAGTGCAAAGCGTATGCACAATAATTTTACATAGCCATATAACTGGCATTTATGACACTGCAGAGGGCCGCGATTATTTTTATGTAGTTTTTGATTTTAACTATAGTGTTAAGTATTAACATGATATTTAGGATTTCCGCGTTATTTGCACCTGGAGGCACCTCCATAAAAAATAATGAGAACGACAAAAAATAATATTAAATATACGTTATCTTGTATTGAGTTTCCTCATATATTCATATCATGTATAATGTGCTTTATAGAATACAGGCAAATAAAACTAAATATTAAATATACATTAAATATTTATTGAGGCTCCACGTGAATACACTGCTTAAAAGAAGTTCCGGGGCTGAAAAAGTTTGGGTATCGTTTATCTAATAAATAAGTAAATTATAAGGCTAAAGTATTTGAAGTTTACTAAAATGATTGATGTATAAATATTTATATAATTTAAATATAATACGAGCAGAGTTGTCATTAGTTGAATAAAATATTATTCGATTGATTTTTTGAATAAAAAATTATTCTTCATTGATTTATTCTTAATTTTATTATTAATTTTTATTTACTATATTTTATTTATTATTCGGTTATTCTTTATTCATTATTTCTTATTGGTTATTCCATTTAATCATATGAATAATAAATTTAAATCCTAAATATCGATGTATAATAATAATATACTTATTATTTAGACTTAAATAATATATATAAAGGTAATACATATTAATACATATAATAATTGACAAAAATAAATTAAATATAATTTTATATTTAATATCATTATTTAATTAATATCTTTCATGATTTCAATAAATAAATTTATTCTGAATAATTATTTTATTCACAAATAAAACTATTCAAAATAATTTTATTCTTGATTCAGTACACCACAATTATTCATAATAAAAAATTATTTTTTATTCATAAATAAATTAGTTATTCATGATTTTATTTTTTATTCTTTATTTTGATTTGTTTTTGCCCAACTCTGAATACGAGTATCTACGATAATGTAAAATATTTTATTTTTAGCCCTGTGTTTTATATTTGTACAATAACTGGTTTACTTTTTATTGAAAATTGAAGTGTTTTCCATTTAACTACTTCCTGAGCCTAATAATTAGTTTTTTTAATCAAGAACTGCGTGAGGAATACTTAACTGAATTTTGTTCTCTACTACTAGATTTTTTGGTGTTCATATTACTTAGTATATTTACATAATAACAAAATCATAATTCACATATATTGTGATGCGATGTTAAAAGTATAATTTCTTTTAACTATACTTGTTCAATTTTATTCAGGTAAGTTTGGTCAACAGTGTAATTTATATGATAGACATATCTCAAAATTGAATTAATCATATAAAAAATGTCTATAGAAAACACGAGAGCATATGTCTATACAAATTAAAATATACAAAGAATTAAGAGTAAATTCGAGTATTTACAATTGCTGTTGTTTTCCGTTCTTTTAATTAATCACATAAATCCAAAAACGAAGTTTACTTAGTATATTTATATTTATAAGCGATTTATAATTCTCGCATGCTAACAATAACTCTTATTTCGTTCATGCAAAGGAATATATACATATACATACATACACGCGCACGAACAAACTTATTATGCGTGTAGTGGTCATTTCGTTCACCGCTTGTATAATCACTTGTTGACCCTTATAATTCGGTAGTCTTAAAATCGTATCCTTTCCGGGCAATTCTTCAAAAACGTTCACGCGGAGGACCGGCACGGCATTATGTAATTTATCCCGAGTACAAAATGCCTGGCGGTGGTGGGTGGAAAATTAATAAATTTGCCGGACAACGATTAGAGAGTGCGAAGGCTTTATAACAGCGAGAAGTATACGTCGTCGGCGGAAAAAGGGTTAGTGTGAAGGGTACGGAAGTATCTATATAGATTCCGGGGAGGGAGGGAGAGGGTGAGATGACTACACATACACACATACATACACACGTGCATGTGTGCATATAAATATGGAGAGGAAGAGGATCAAGTTGGCGAGCCAGCAGCAGGCGTCCTGCAACGTGTCTGTGTGCTGCACAGGATTTTCCTTTTGTATCGGCTCGTTGATTTATAGCATTCATCCATCATGTTGCCGATGCTGCAGTAGCGGTGGAGGCAGCAAAAGCAGCAGCGGCCTTTGAATAGTTTTTGAATGTAAAAAGTGCTTCACCTCCCTTGCACTACTTCTACCCGTCACCGTCGCACGGTAGTTTTCCGACTATCACGTCGGCCAAAGGAACTCATTTAGCGATAAAATAAATAAATAAAAAGTTACTGGACGGTATGACACAAATTCGCCGTCGGCGTTAATTAATTTCATTTTCAGCTGGTTCGTGAACGGTTAATCGCACGATAGTATCATTACTGTTGGGATCGAAAGAAGACGATGGATCTCCTCTACACCATCGTCACGTTTTTGAATTATATTATGTATTTAAACAATACAATTTATTTTTTTAAATGCCTTTGGCTTTTTAACTGAGGTACAAACTACGGCAACATCAGTCAGGTATCTATCAATAGCAATTGTTCCGATCATTGAAATTCATCACATAAAGTCATAAATGTACTATATGCATGAGCCGAGGGAGATAATTAAGTTAATTTTACTTTTTATTCATCTTCAGAAGTTAAAAAAAGTAGTTATGAAGTATTAAAAAAAAATATTAAATTATGGTCCACAAAATTCTTTCGGTTTTGAACTTTTTCCTTTTCGACATAATTGAATATTTTATAATAATTCCACTTGCTTTCAGTAATTAATGTTATAAGTCTATTTGAATATAACATAATATATAAATGTGGTAACGTTTTGTTTTGTATATTTTTTAATTATAAATATTTGTCCATTTTAATATATGCCTTTATCATTTAAATAAAATCTTTTGGAAAAAATCTAACTCTACAATAATAGGAGTTGTAATCCGGATCCTGTGGCAATATGTGCGCATATTTTATTATATAAAATTATATTCAAGGTCATATTAATTATTGAATTAATTAGAATCATTCTTATTCTTATATGTTGATATCCTATCAACCACATGATCAATCGTAACATATTTGGCGTTTGCAACAAGAATTTTATTCCTCGATTGTTTCAGAAATTGGATGATATTATTATTATTATTATCGGTACCTAAACGAGATTGAGATTGGAATTGGATATTTGATAAATACAACAAATTGTCGATTCTATATCATTTAACCCTTTATTTGTCAAGTGTCAACATTCAAGTGTAAACACATTTTTTAATCATTATTCGGAAATACAATTATGCTT